TAGGGTATTCTTGTCCGCATCAATATACCCTACCAATACAGCAAGAAACCATTGATAACCTATATCAAGGTCTATTGTTCTCTTAAGGTGTCTCATGACCCCTTTCAATAGCATTTCAATGCTTCATACTAGGACAATCTGTAGCATGCCAAGTACCCCCACTATGTCGGGTCTCATGTTTATCAGCTGCCTCTCGCAGACTGTCGATGCTAGTATGTTCTTACTTTCTTACACCGTCTTTGGTGCTCTTTAAAAATTATACTAGCACCATCAAACATTTGTGCAGGTGCAACTCGTATTTCTTATAGATCTTAACTTGACAGTTAAACTGATCTATAGAAAATGTCTTTCCTTGTCCTAGTCATTTGGATTTCCAAACATAAAACTTGTTTCATCCAGATCAATCTCATTCAAAATTCTCAAACATGGTTTTTTTTCCACATTATTAATATCATGAATCTTTGTACCAAAGATATACATGACATTCATAGTGCAAGTGTCATTTTCAAATTTGTATTAAATGCACTTGTTACTTCCATTTAAAAACCATGAGAGAACCATATTTTTCATGCCACAATTTAGAGTCTATTTCAAATCATACCATGATTTTTCTAACCATAGACTTTGAAAGCATGTTCAGGAATAACAACCCTTTAGGTTGTCCCATGTAGATTTATTTATCTAAATCCCCATTCACAAAATAAGTTTAACATCCATCTGACGCACAACAAACGCAATCAGAACGCACAGGGATGTTATTCTATATATTGGTGAAAAGATATCAAGAAAATCTACAATATTTTCCTCTTCACCTAAAGCCTTAGCTACTAGGTGATTCTTTTACTCATAAACTAAACCATCAGGTTTCAGTTTTTCTTTTAGGAATCCATTTATTACCTTCGCTTCATTGGCAGGAGGTAATTCTCAAAGATGCAAAATCTTGTTTGATTTCATCGATATATTACCCACGGCTTACGGTCGAGAGGTAACTCTACAAGATTCTAAGTCTTATTAGACTTCAATAATTCTATTTCGTTAATAATGGATTCTCCCACAAATCTGCATCTTTATGGAAGTTCGAACTTCTAGCAGACTTGTAGGATCGTTCTTTTTTAGGGTGTAAATAACAAATTCATAACCAAAATCCTTTCGTGATTTATGGTTCATTTGTCTCTTCTGAGTTCATACCCAGATTCATTATCCCCACGAGTTCCATTACTTCTAATAGTAGGTAGGATACACCCCCACTATTTCTTGATTTTAAATGGAAGTCTATTGGCAACAACGGATTCCACAACATAATGAGTACTCAACTTATGAGGACTATGTGTTTTCCATAGCATATCCAAAAACACACAATCATATGCTTATTTGTAATCATATTGCACTATTCTCTAATTCTAAAATTAGCTAAGTAATCAGAGCAATCAACATTTATGCGTGAAAGCATTTCAAACAATTCCAAGCAAGCATCTCATCACATTTATCCAAAATAAACCAGATCTAAATATTATTCTCTGGTCACATATTTATGTGTCATTTATCTTATCTATAGAAATCACATCTACCACGACCATTGTGAGAATGTGACTCTAGCTATTCAATTCTTCAAGATATACGTGCATGCAAGACCCATAAAAAATTCAGCACTTTAACATTATCATCATCTACATCTCATGATCATTCTCAATAGTGGAGTGAGCAATACTCAACAACACTTTCTTAATAGCATATGGCTTAGTATGCTTCGAGGTACCACTATTTAGTCACCATTCTTCAGAGTTACCAACAAGGTTAATCTCTGCTCTTTTCACAATCATCACAACCACCACTTGTTCATACACTTTCGTGTCATATTACCTAATTTCTCGCAACTATTGCATAGTAATAAAGCATCATTCTTAGAGGATTGGTCGATGATCCTTTGGTTACCACAAATGATACCATTCTAATTGGTGTGGATCTGGTTTGACTTGCTATAATGATCTTGAACCTTATTAGGGTTCAAGATGTACGAATGGTTCTCATAGTACTGACAAACAGTACTTCTTCTATAATAAATATGGGCATACAACTCATTCCACTAGCATATTTACCACTCAATATACATACACATATGCTTTAGAATATGCATTCGTGTAATCAAAATTACTCTCCACAACTTATACACAAAATTGTACTCTAGTCATCCCATATTCAATATTATCATATTCATGCATCAGTTCTATCTTTTCTTTTTTTAGCATTCAAAAGAATTCTCGATTTCATGCATAAAACTAGATAGCATAGATTCTAATTTATTATTCAATAACAACTCACGAAAAATGTTAATGCTCTTACCTTTTTCAAGAGCTCATCGTCTTTCTAATAATAGCTATAGCTTAGCTTCCACTCCATAATCTGTTGTCCGAGCACCTGTTTCTTCCATAAGGGGACGCGATCCATTTTGTTTTGCTAGTGGAACTTTGACACAAACAATTAATTGGACCGACGCATTTTTCTTTGGCCCGGGATAGAATTGCCTTGGCCCGTTTATTCTAGAAAACCATCATTCCCCAACCGGCTTTGGTTGCAGTGGACCGGATCCAGAAGCAAACCGTTTCCCCATTGAGTTAGGGTTCACCTCGATCGAGAGGAAAGCGAGCTTAGGGATTATTTTGTCTCAACCTTGAATTTCCGCCTTCCGCCACTTGTCTACATGACAAACTACAGTATCATTTATAGTGAAAAAGTAAAATTGCACCCTCCATTCAAAAATCCCTGCTTCTAGAGTGATTTGCGGGAGCTGATGTGGCTGGACATTCACGCGGGGTTTTTCTCTTTCTTTATATAACTGTAATGGTGAGATGAGGGAAAACAAGATTTTTCTAAGAAGTAATGGCGGTTTTAGCTCATTTTCAGAAGTAGGGGTGTTCAAATGGTTACCATGGTTATTACCAAACCAAGTAAGGCTAAATTTCATTAACCATGGAATCAGTGCAGTCAAAATCGCGCATTAAAACGTAAAAACTTACGTTTTTACGTATCCAGCCCACCAAAACGTTTCAGTTTCTACCTAAAGTCGCTTAGTCACAAAAATTGGTAAAAACATGGGTAAAATCGGTAAAATCACGACTCTGAAGCGTTTTTATACAATTTTGATCATCTCATACAAATGTGCTAATTGGCCCAAAATGATGTAATTTTGAAGACATATCAACAAAAAATAATAATAATAAAACATGATTCATCAATTGTTCTACAACTAGTGTCGAGATAGGGGCTTCACATTAGGTTGAAAAGACACCTAATGGTATTCTCAACAGTCGCTGGCCTTCTATCAGTCTTCTTCCTTAATCTTCACCTGTGGCTCTTTCCTGGGTTAAGATAAAAGTTTATGGGTAATTGATCCTATGTAATTATGTAAACTCAAACCAGCTTATGAGAATTTGGATTCTCAAGCTCGTTTACGGGTTACGATCTACATTTATGAGCTTATTATTAAGATGTTATGAGTTTTCTCTACTTTTGAGTCAACACAAATTAGTTTATGTGTTAGATATTACATTTTAATTATGAATTTCATGTAGTTATTCACTTATCTAAAATCTACACACTCACATTTTATATACTATATGTTGCACTTAACATATTTTCGCTACTTTAGAGGGTGCGTAAAAAACTTACGTTTTTACGCTATAATTCTGCGTTTTACGATTTTACCCATATTCCGCTTCTAGGTAGAATCGCGCTTTTAACTGCATTGCATGGAATACAATATCATAACCAAACCGTCCAAACTAATACAACAACCAAATTAACCAAACTAAAGTTTAATCGGTTTGGTTAATTGGTTAACCAGATTAACCAATATAAAATCACATTATCATTAAGTGAGAAAATTTTCGGTTAATTTATCAATTCACAATTTATATAATGAATAAAACATAACAATCAACACTTGGTTATAGTTGACCTTTAACATAAATACATGCAACAAAGACAATTATCTTACGATTAGTATAGAAGTATTCACCTAGCAAAAATTCATCACAATCGTATGTGTTAATGAATTGTTGTGTTTGTTTGAATCGACTTAGTCTTTTAGCAATTTTCATAGGCTGAAAAGGACCTTGCTTTCAAGTTTTCATCCAACATAATGTATGAGATTTATCTAAATTAGGCGTTCATATGTTGTGGTCTACACTCTACATATACAAATATCAGTGTTCAAAAAGACGCGATTAATCTCTCGCCTAGGCGCGATTAATAGCTGAGCAGGACGAAATCGCCCTGTCTAGCCCTGGGCGATTGATCTAGGCACCTAGGCACTCGGAGGCGCGTTTTCACTCTGGTGGGCGACGCCCATAACAACTAATAAAGGGGGAAAGTGTAGCCTTTTTTTGAAAATCCCAAACCATATTCTATTTCCCATTTCCATTCGACCAGCCGCTCGCCCTCATCGACCAGCAGTGAGATCCCTCCTCATTGTTAGCGACTTGGGATGTTTGGGATTGTGGAAAAGGGTTGTATGTGAATATGAATGGATGAATAATGATATGACAACTTGGGTTTTGTGGAATATGGCTTATCTATCGTATTTTTTTTGCAACGTTTAATCTCGCCTAGCCATCGATTAATTGGCCTGGGCGCTGGGCGGTGCCTCCTCGTCTAGATAGCGCCTAGCATCTTCTTAAACATTGACAAATATACATTATAGGAACAATATCAAGCTTTATATTTTATGAGTCTAAAAGGAATGAACGTTTAACTCTTGACTAATTAAGTATGTGTATATATTAGATATATGACTAATTATTTATCTGGTTAATTTGGTTTGGCTGGTTAGGAGTGTCTGAAACCAAACCAAACAACCTAAACCAAACAAGCTAAAAACTTTAACCAAACCAAACCAATTATCCAAATTATCCAAATAGTACGGATTAAAACGGTTATCATGGTAACCACACCGTTTGAACACCCCTATTCAAAAGCTCCACTTCTCCCCCGTCTCTTTCCTGCCATTTCAACTTTACCTTCTGCTCCAAGATCTACCCACTCCCTTTCTCAAGGGCTCAAACATAGCGCTGACTGCTGAGCAAGTACGGTCAGGTGTGCAGGCTAAGTTTGTGAAGAGCAGCGTGAGGACCGAGGATTGCCTCTCCGATGGGTCCCCGGATTTCGCCCTCGTCGAGAAATCTTTTTTCCCCAATGAATATCGGGAAATCTTCTCTTCTCAATTCGCTGGTCAGAAGGAAGAAGCGAGAAGCTCGCCCTCACTTCTAAGAAACCTGGTACATAATGATTTTCTACATTATGTGGCTTTGAATTGGGAATTTGCGTTCATTGGTATTGAAATTGTTCAAATTTTGAAGGGAAGACGCAATGCATAAACCATTTCAGGATCAATGAGAGCTGGTTCTTGGAGGATTTGTCTGGATAAGGGTAATGGTTCCAACATTGATCAATTTTCATTTAGGAGATTTGGAATTGGTACTTATTTGAGTTACAATAGTGTCGCGATTCAACCTGATGTCTGTTTCAAGCCGGTATGATCTTCTATGCAGGTATGTTTCTACACCACAAGAATGCAGGAAAGATTGGGCAAGGATTACTTCCTCAACCGTTCAATGTTGGTCTTTGTGTTCCTTCTCATAGATGCAAGTATCCCAGCAAAGAAGATCGATCTGGAGTATGCAAGTTGGCTTGGTCAGTACCAGGTAAAAGGAGAGGACTTTTTGTTTGATTTTGAAGTTGCACATAATGGTGCATGGAGTGGTCAATGTTCTTCGAGTGTCATCTAAAAGAACAAATTGCCATTTTGGTTGGGTAGAAATTTGTATACATTATTTGTTAAATCACTTTGGTTTGCGATTTTGTTGGGTTCTTCTTTGTATTCTCACTATGCATGATTCAGACTGACGATTAATGCTCCAGAATGTTGCTCCTGAACTTGAGAGTATTAGGGAATGAGTGTTATCTATGGTGTATTTGTTTACTGAAATGAAACTAATAGTTCTAGATGGGTGTACCCTTCATGTGAACAGGTCTTAGGATGACGCTTACTAATTTCTACCAAAACCATTCTCAACTCTTCATTTGTGTGTGATTTGTACGACAACCATTATCAACTCTTGATTTTCTCTCTATTTGGTTTGAGCATTTCTCTTATACTTACCTTCCCTCTCTCTGTGGGTTTTCTAAGCTTTATACCTGCAGATTTGGCATCTTTCTATTTCTTGCTCATTGGTACCAGCTCTCTCACCATAACGCAAGGGAAATGGTAGAAACACATTGCCCTCTTGTGTTGCACATGGATTCTTCTTTGGCGAGGATGAGATGAAGCACCAAAACCCTTTTTTGGGGAAAGAAGAGAGTACGCTCCAACTCTCAATACAATCGCTGCTTACAACTTCCACTTCCTTGCTCTTTGGTACCATCCCTCCCTTCCTCAATTTGGTTTCTTCTACTGGTCACCTGCTCTTTTAATTGCGTTTATAGTGGCTGTTGTCCATTTGTTCTCGGTTTTCCTTACCAAATATAGTTGATTTTCCAGAAAATTTGTTTCTGCATGTTTCGGCAATTGTTTACATTCAATCCACTATGATGAAAATCCACAAACTATGAAGCCATTGACCATGGTAGGGGTTTCTATTTGGAAGAAGAAGCTTTGGAACCTACTAGATGAAGACTCTGATGATGAACGTACACACTAGGGCTGCAGGGGAGAATGGAATATCAAATCAAAGCCATTGACAGGTACTACTTTTGTTGACAAGGTAGAGAATTTTTTTTGTCTTTTATACGAGAAATCAGTCTTACGACATCAAACCCTCCATAGATACCCGACAAATCCTGATAGCATTTAATACGAGCTTACATCCCTGTCGGTGGCCACCAAGGGGGTAACACAGAAGTGCCGGCTACCAAGGATCGAACCTAGAAAATTCCTGGACACAATCTTACGCCTTTACCACCTCCACCACCCCTTGGTGGTTGCCAGAGAATGCTTTCGTCCAAAACACTTGGCAATTAGAAGTTTGTTTCTTTTGAATTGGTGCTTAGTTAATAGTCAATATGTCAGCTAACCTTTATACTTATGGCTTTACTGTTATTATGATCACCCAGATTCCTTGACTCTCCTCAAGCCAATCTCTAACATAAGGTCTCTTAGTGTAATGGCAAAAGCTCCAGCCTATATAATCACCATTATACTGCTTTAGATCCTTGGTTGTTGTGGGCATCCAGTTATTTCATAAATTAATTGGTCTCTTTCGCGCAAGGAAAACAACGAACACCAGATCTGTTGTAGCGGGCACAAATTCAGCTTAGAAAGCTTGTGTCGAAACAATTTTAGTTTAGAAACCACTAACCAAAACACAAAAGTACAAGCACAAGTCTCAATTCCCAAATCAAATCTTACAACTTACAGTGTATAGACCGACAATAAACATTTTGCGAAAGCGCAACATCAACACAAAAAGCAGACTGCAGGACCATTGTGTATTGATTTGGTTACAATTTCTCGCTTTATGAAATTCAGTTTGTGCTTGGACCTGAATTTGTGTTTTGGTCTATAGTTTCGTGGTCTTTCTTTATGGTTTCCATCTGCTGTAGCCAGCATGTTTGCTTTTAACATGAGGTATCTTTGTGTAATGGCAAAGCTTTGGTCTTCATCATCATCGTTAAACTAATTTTGTTACTTGGTTGTTGTGGGACCCATATATTGGAGCTTCAAGCAACCTTACGTGAAAGCCATAGGCATTGTGGAATGGATAACTATAGAAAAGAGTTTTGGCATAACAACTTAATGGGGTTAATTGCAAGGATGGTCACTGGGTTTACTAAAACCGTTCATGTTTGGTCACTGTAAATATTTAATTCCATTCATGGTCACTAAGATTAGTTCAATAGTTCAAGTTTGGTCACTCTCCGTTAGTCTCAGTTAGTATTTGCTGATGTGGCAATCAACTATTATAGTTGACCGTTAAATGAGTGACGTGGCCATTAAAAAAATAATAAAATAATAAAATTTAAATATTTAAATATAAAAGGAAAGAAAAAAAAAGACAGCCATGGAGGGGACCAGTTTCAACAGATAAAAGTCTCAAATCCCGGCACAACTCAAAAGTAATTTCCACTCCCCAGAGACCCATCCATCCAATTTTTTTCAACTCCACCTCCCCTCTTCTTCAACCACCGAATTAACCCTCCAAAAAAAATCTCTACCCCATTTCCATGGATTCCGATCGCCAATTCAAAGTTCCCCTGCTCCTTCTTACTATCAACCACACTCATTTAACGGCCACTTCGCGATCGCGAGCACGATCGGCGGCACGAACGACGCGATCGTCACCCTGTACCTCTGCACCAGCTCCACCAGAGCCCCAATCTCAAATTTCGGCATGATCAGAATCGCCGCCCCGACCCTCAGCCCGCAGAGCATGATCGAATTCAGCGAATAGATGTGGAACAACGGCAAAACGCAGAGGATCACGTCGTTCCGATGGAAATACAGATTCGGATTCTAGCCGTCGACCTGCTGCGCCACGCTCGTCACCAGCCCCCTGTGCGTCAGCATCACGCCCTTCGGCAGCCCGTCGTCCCCGAAGAATACAGCAGCGCCACCACGTCGTCGGGATTTATCTTCACCGCGGGGAGGATCGGTTCAATTTCGCCCTCCTTCACCAGATCCGAGAATTTGAAAAACAGAGCATCGTCGATCGTGACGATTTTCACTTCCGATTTGATTTTTTCGGCGAAATTGAAGTGCGTGATCACGAGCTTGGCCTTCGAGGCGGCGATCTGCTTGGCGATTTCGACCGGGGTGTAGAAAGGATTCGCGGTTGTGACGACGGCGCCGAGGTGCGAGGCGGCGAGGAAGGCGTAGACGAATTCAGGGGAGTTCTGGAGGAGGAGCATGATGACGTCATTCAATATGGAAGTTTTTGCCTTTGTTTGGTAACGGGAGTTTTTGCCTTTGTGTTTTTCTTTTTCCTGGTTTGGGAAAGGGGCGTTGGCCGGAGGTTAAATATACAGGGGAATGGTTAGGTAATGCTAGAGGGAAACCGGTGGGACACGTCATTCAATATGGAAGTTTTCAGATAATTCGATGCATTACCGGTTAAATATACACCGAATTAACCCTCCAAAAAATAATATTTAAATTTTATTATTTTATTATTATTTTAATTGTCACGTCACTGATTTAACGGTCAACTATAATAATTGACTGCCACATCAGCAAAAATTAACGGAGACTAACGGAGAGTGACCAAACTTGAACTATTGAACTAATCTTAGTGACCATGAATGGAATTAAATATTTGCAGTGACCAAACATGAACGGTTTTAGTAAACCCAGTGACCATCCTTGCAATTAACCCCAACTTAATGATATTAACTCTCTTCATCGACAACAAGTAGTGTAAGCATTTGCCTGCATCAGCTTCCCAAGGGGCACTGGCTCAGTTTCTTCACCATACACTCTTTCATTTGTTGGTCACTTTACTAATAAACTATAACAATGTTTATCAAACCTATTTTCTTAAAATTTCCCTGCCATAATAATGATGTCGATGGGTTTGTGGTTGACTTTTCTTTTCGTATAATTAGGGCACTTCACGATATGCTTCTTCTTCTGACCATCGACATGTCAACCGAGTACGAATAGTGGGAACTAGATAATCGCCCTTTGTTTTATCAATAATTTGGTTCTCCTTCGCTGTGACAAATGGTGACTTTCTTGCAAACCTCCTGAAATGTATTCTATTTTCCATAAATTAATTCCGCTCTACTCATTTGCCGCATAGATTTGTTAGAACCGCTTCAAAATTGATAATTTCTACCTTTGTATGCTTTTACCAAGTTCAGAGGAGTTTCCTGGAAATAACCCAACCGTGAGAATTCTTGATTGGTTTGGCTGATACAAATTTGAATATGAATAACTTTTAAGCAAACCCCTAGACATTTCTAGCTTGGTTCGCCAAAGAGAATGCTACAAGTGGTTCCAAGTAAACCTTCCGATGACCTAGAGTTCCAAACAATGTTTTTGTTGTAGTATTTTAATCGAATTTCCTTATTTGTCATTAAGGTTAGATTTCCTCCTGTATAATTCAAGGATAGGGAGTGGATGAAATAGACAACTTCTCCAATCAACCAAACGAAATCAGGCCTGCTACCTTTACCTTGAATAATTGTTTCTATTAGAGATTGAGGCGGTTGAGAAATTAATAATCAATTCATATCTTAAGTTCGTCACATACAAAGTTCAAACGTTATTTGGTCGGCTCAGCCTTATCCTCCCATCCACATGCAACGTTAATATAAGAAGTGAAAAGTTTGTTGCAACGGGGTTGGAATGTTTGGATAGAGCATTATAATGGAAAAGATAAATTGCATCGACTGATCATTTTTTTCCGTCGGAATTTGCCTTATTTCTGCTCCGAATACCCATCTTTGTGACTAGCTTATGTATGATCTAATCGGGAGTCAAACTCCCAAACTGGTTCCGAACTAAGGATTGGGCACCCCTAACATCCTTTGATTAAAAAAAGTTCAAACGTTATTTAATTTTCGAAGTGAAATGTCCATTTTTCATTCAAGTTTGAGCAAATAAAGCAACATGTTCTTGAAGCTTGACATTCTAAATTAAAAATTAACAAGTAATATTCTGCAGGTAGTTATGCTTGGATTTTCTTCCACAATTTACCCACTACTTGATGCTCTTCTAACTCATTATGCACAATTTACCCACACCTTTCCTTTCTTTTCCTATTCTATATGTGGGTGTTGCTTCACAAGTCTCTCACCTTCCTTCCCAACATTCGCATCCAACAAATTAAATATGATCTCTACAAGAGGCGTAATATCATTCCTAAATTCACTATTTTCATGGTCTGACCATATTGGCAAACTCACTGGGAGAAACAAAGGAGGTTCCATTTCAGCAGCAAGAGACATGATTGTGACCACACTAACACAAGAATATAGAAATAGAAGCTCACAAGTCATAAATATCGACAAAATTCAATGCTTATAGTTTAGCAAAATACACACAATCTTCTTTCGGCCAACGGGCCGGCTATAAGCTAGTTTTTTGAATTGATGCTCCACTTTCTAGTTATAGGTCAGAGAAGTTCTGTAGGTTGAAACCCACTTTTGCCGCCGGTAGCAGCCACCGGAACTTCCTTCCATCAAGCGGCTACTTTGGACTGGACTTTCACGACCATGCCCAACTGAGTGAGCAATTGGTCAGGCAGATCGTTATTTCGGCTGTTCTTCCAATGACTGCAGTCTGCTTTTGTCCTTGATTTGCAATGGCGCAGCCGAAAGAATAATAGCGGTAGGTTGGGTTTTCTTTGACCTATCTAGGAATTCCTTTGCGGTGCTCCAGTCGTCGTCATCATCAATCGTCGATGTATGTAAACCGGTTTTCAGTCTCTTGATACAATGGATCCCCTCCTTAAATCCTCCGATGGAATTTAACGCTGCGACAGTGCGACTGCTTTGTTTTCTTCCGAAATGTAAATTTTGGAGTCGGAATCCGACGAATCACCTACGTGTTGCACATGTCATCTCTCCCAGAAGGATTAGTTTTTTCTTTCGCGGATCAAATCTTGTTGAAGCCAGATAAGATAATCGATATGTTCGGTACACATGACAGCAACCGAGCGTCTTAAAATTGTTAGAAACCGAACAGAAATATAGGGTTACTGATGTGGCTGAGTCGTGGACTAGGTCGCTCTCTTTAAGACGTTCGCAGCACTACCTTCATTGCGCACGGCAGACTATCAGCCGGTCGCCTCCATGATAAAAAAACCACTCTAATTTTTTTGCTCTTTGTGCAAAAACCGGAGCTCAATTAACTCACTCTCTTTCTCGTGTTTCTGCTCTCTGAGGTATGTTTAGAGGGTCCGGGGGGTCTGCCATTTATAGGAGCAGAAGAACCAAAATATTCCCTCTTTCTTTAGGAATAAGTCACATTTTAATTAGGGAGGTAATTACTCCCATAATTAAAATATAATCTATTAAGATAATTAACCCTAATTATCTCTATAATATTTATTTTATTAATTATCCTTCTTATTTTCGTATTATATAAAAATACTTGATAATTAATTAGAAATTTCATTTATAGTTTTTCAAAGCTATTCATCCCAACACTGACTACGATGTGCAACGAGGTTTTCAGTCTCAATAGCAATGAATTGACTCATGAACTCATTTGCTGATGTTGTTCTTTACTTTCAGTACAGTAGCTAACGTGTTTCTCAAGGCAGGAATCGAGCAGTTGCTAAGTTTTGCACCAAACACCTATGAAACTGAAAACCATTCAGATATTCAAAAACAAACATTCGCATATACATATCCCCAGGGCACAAGCGGCAAAAGGGTAATCTTTGTAATCAACATGTAAAAGCTGAAACATAATCTCAGCTTGATGCATTCTGTTCGTATTTATACATATCCCGTTACCATAAGTGGCAAAGTGGTCACCTTTGTTACAGCATGTGAAAGCTGAAATGACAACACAGGCACACTGGTAATACAATGTCTACATTTACATATATATATATATACATGCTCTGGCATCTGGAGTCTCTATTATCAAGCAGCTGCCTCTACCTTCCTTTCCAGCTCTATTGCAATCTCATTCCGGCGGTTGAATGGCAGGGTGAAAGGTGGATTGTACTGCCAACCAACAGGATATGTATCTTAGTGCTGGAATTTTCTCCAAGAAAGTGAGCTGATTTAAGATAGGATTAATCTTACTTGTGCAACTTCCACTGATGCACCTTCTTTGACTTTGAACTCTCTGTCACTTTGTAAAGCGGCTCTTAGTGTAACTTCCCGCTGTTTAACTTCTTCATCTGTGACGAACCCTGATTTACACGAATAGGTAGGGAGCAGAATAACATCGGTTAGTAGTTAACACAGCTAAACGGACAATGGGAATTTTCAGGGCATGCTAAAACTGCAAACCTGAGAAAGCAACAACTGCCACAACTCTCTTTGGCACCTCAATGATCCGCACGGTTTGGTCTTGGGGCAATGGAAAATCGGAGCCATATTTCGAGGGCAATACAAAGGACATCTGCCACTTCTCCTCATCTTCCACCTGAGAAAATGAATCGAAAATAATTTGAATGGTTACATATTCAATCAGTCATCTCTTATCTTGAAATGAACACAAGCATTTCCATATGGCACATGGATTAATTCAGTAGACTCCAATGATACCATTACCAACACAAACAGAAAGATCAACGATTACAAACAAATTCACCTTCTTTGTTATCACAGGAGTCGTCATGTCCATTTTCTCCCCAACGGGCTGCCGAGTCTTACTGGTAATGACTGGAGTTGTCATTTCCATCTTCTCTTGCACCATATTCTAGATCCAAAACGTCGAACCATAAAGTTAAGGAATTTGAAGATGTGTTTGAGTGAGAAGTGAAAAAACAACAGAGATATCTGATTGAGGCCAAAGTGAGCATAAATGCATAATGCAGCTTCCATGACTACCTTACCAAACAAGTACTCAGCTAAGACATTGAAGGACTGAGAAGCACCACTGAAATCGAATCCAGCCTTTCCCGGCATTGTGGTCTCCGCTATGAAGTAAGACTGTTCCAAAACCATTGATTACAAACCCCAACCCCGATAAAAGCAAGAAAATTAAAATAAAAATTGAAGCCACTAAGTACATCAAGAATATTATTATTACCTCGACCTCTCTTATCTCGTACTCGTCTCTCCTGTTCAATACCTTGAACTTCAGTGTCTCCAGATCAGGCACTGTACAAAATCAAACGCATTATTAGATTTGATCCAAAATCAATTCAATTCAATTCATGAGTTTTAGATCAACCCGATATGGAATTTGGAAACATGAGTACCTGCCATCAAAGCTTCCTCCAAATTCCGGCTCTCGAACCGCTTCGGGAAGACGTATCTGGCAGTCTCGTTCGCCAAATCGCGCAGAACTGCATGAGACACGGACGAAACACATAATAGAATTGAAGATCCATGGCATGGGAAGAGAGCAACAACAGAGGAAACCGAAATTTCACCAAGAATTACGTCGCTGAGAAACATTGGTGGTCTGAGCAGCAAGGGCGAAGACGAGAGAAACTCGAGCTTCGAAGGCGGAGACAGCTCTTTTAGGTGGAGACGTGGCGGAGGAGGCGGGGGCTCTATCTGTGACCATGCGCGACGTTACTTTGACAGTGGAACCGACGCGGCTGCCAAGCGAGGGAGTGAAGCCGGAGAAAGCCGAGGGGCGGTGGACCGTCGGCTGAATCTTGTCGAGACGCATCATCGTAGATTCCCTTCCCTCAGCTCTCTCTCAGTCTCAGATATTATCAGGCAGGCACTATCTCATCTTATTTTATTTGCCAGATGAGAGGTATAGATATCTTTGAATCATGGAACTGGTGGTCGCCGTTTGTTGTCCCGGCGAGTCTAGCTTTGCTCTTGCCAACTGTTTTATCAAATGATCCTCCAAGTTCTGATGGTTTACAATTTGACCCCTTTCTCAGTTAAGTGACCATTTAGTAACATTTTTTAGTTGAGTGCCATAAAAAATCCGAGCCCTTTAATTCCGAAAATCCCCAATCTCGCCTCTGTCTCGATCTGCAGTGCGGTACTCGAATCAAACAACCCACGAGAACGAGAGCACTAAAAAATCATCCATGGCTACTGAGCCGAGTTTCCAAGTTCGCAAGCTACAGCTATCAGACAAGGGAAAAGGATTCATCGAGCTCATGAGACAGCTCAGCGTCGGCGATCCCATCTCCGACGAAGATTTCGTGCAGAGGTTTCAAGAGCTGAGCTCCCATGGGGACGACGATCTCATCTGTGTGATAGAAGATGAACGGCAGTCGAAGATCATAGCCACCGGTTGCGTGTTTGTAGAGAAGAAGTTGTTGAGGAACTGCGGCAAGGTCGGCCACATTGAGGACGTCGTCGTCGACTCAAGCGCCAGATTGGGGATGAAGATTGTGGAGTTTCTCGCGGATCATGCGCGGTACAGAGGTTGCTACAAGGTGATTCTGGACTGCAGCAGCGAAAACAAGGCGTTCTATGAGAGGTGTGGGTTTAGGGAGAAGGAAATCCAGATGGTTCAGTATTTTGTTTAGATCACCATTGTAAGACTTTGGTTAAACTTAAGAGAGCAGCCTGCAACGTTTTAGCTTGTGATTTCATTTCAAGTTTAATTGCAGCAAAATCAGTACTAATCCTGTAATGGAAATATAGCAAAAGTGCGGTAGAGAGTAGAGACTAGAGAGAGATGGAATGGAACAGTAAGGTAGCAGGGCAGGGCAATTTTCACTGGGCCTGAGGTGAAACGGCGTCGGTTTGTGCTGTGACTGCGTACACTACTTCCCCACGCCGGATCCAACCGCCTGCCATCGAAAAAGTAAAACTAGAAAGGAACGGCCTTCAAAAACAAAAACCCCACCATCGAAAATGTAAAACTAGAAAGAAAGTAAAACTGAGAGACTGTTTTCGTTATAATCTAGGATGGACTCGCTGTTTCGACTTCTTCTACACGACCAATCCTTGCTTCAAGAGGATCATTCTGATCCAAAGCTGCTCGACACAATAAATTACCATAAACGGGATCTCGTGACTATTCTCGAAACGGTCAAGTGGCAGGTACTAGTTGCTCTTTGTCTGCCAACACATTTTGATTATGGTTTACTTTTTCAACTTGCCAGTTGGAAGATTTCGAAAGAGCAGTCAACGCTTCAGCCTTGGCAGACAAGTCTCGATTGAAGGAAGACGTGATAGCTAGGCATAGGCAGTTCATTAAGGCCATAAAGGAACATATAAAACTTATCGAGGAGAGAATTAATAGAGGGTCCTTCAATTCAATGAGGAAAAACAGGTGGGTGAATTTGAATGACCAGGACATGGATGGATTGGCATTGTTTCTTGATCCAGGTGATGAGATTGTTGAGCAAGAAAGGATCGAAAAGGTACTAGTAAATGCAATGCCTTGTGAATGGATAAAAAGATCTCTAGCTAGTGATAGGGAATGCAATGTTGAGGGGAAGTGGGACCTGGAAGCTAGTGAAGCGGCGACATCTACAACTATCTTATCTTCCATGAAAACAAGCTGCGAGGAGTATCCAGTAGAGTTAATTTCAGATTCTTGAGAAATTTCTGTACCATGTTATGTATGGGAACAAAGGCAGCAGAAGCCATACAAAAAAGTTGAAAGATGTCAGTTCACTAACATCCCTCGATGATTCCCCTTATGTTCAGGTACAAATTTACGAAAGTGGGATGCATATATGATGGATGCATTATGTGCTTCCTAATGCATCTCTAACCAATGGCAATTAAGTCCAGAATTAATTGGCTCATCATTTGTATTGTGAGTTCCATGTATTCATCAACCGCTCGACTTGATATAAATCGTAGTAAAAGAATAAAAAATTATTGATATAAACCAAAAAAAACCCAAAACCCCTCAACCTAAGGCAATTTTCGGTTGTACCATGGACCAACCGAAAATCACCTTCGGTTGCACCATGGCTCAACCGAAGCCAATTTTCGGTTGGTCCATGGTACAACCGAAAATTGCCTTAGGTTGAGCCATGGTACAACCGAAAATTGGCTTCGGTTGAGGGGTTTTAGAATTTTTTTTGAAAAAAAAATCAGATTTTTACCTCGTCGGAGTCGCTACTCATGATTCGGACGTATTCTCAACGATTACGACTCGAGAATGTCAACGATGAATTCGAGAGTGTGGGAAATTGAGTGTTTTTCATTTTTTTTTAGTTAAAGTGATGTTTGTTTGCTAAAAATATCAAAAGGTTAAAAGTGTAACTTTGTTATTTTTTAGGACGATCAATAGTAATTTTAAGGACGGCCTTTATCAATTCCCATAATTTATAGTTCTTGGAATTAGCAGACTGTTTTCAGTAGATTTAACTGCCTGCAGTTTCAACAACCATCAGGTAGAAATGTAGTGAAGTCTGACATGCTGATGATTATATTAATGTCTATGACAGGGCCAATTGCAACGTGGATTTGGAAGCTTCCAAATTCTATTTTCTAGGTTTCAAGCTAATGTGGTGCAGTTGAGTAGCAATCTTGGAGTAATATATCAAGTGTTGCCTTGTCATGTTCAAGTAAATTGGAATTCGGTGCAAATAGTGTTGACAATAACAATTATATTCGCCCTCATATTTTTGGGTAAGGAAAGCTTATTCTGTTGCTCCATCACTTTTTTATCTTGTATCTTGTCAGGATCCTTACTCCTGGATCTGATTCATCCGTAGGTATACTGGTCTTCAGAATCGCTTGATGACCAGAATTCACTGATTTGAAGCTCAGCTGCAGCATACTATGCAGTTAATATTGATGAGTTGCATGCTGGATTGCTGGTGAAAGTACGTGGGATGTACAAATTCCTCTTCGGACGATCCCCTTGGAAGCATGTAACATTCTCCAGGAATTCGCCATTAGCATTCGATTTAAGCACAGAGCATGAGATCCTAATCCTAGTACTAGATTGATGTTACTTATGCATGCAATTTTTTGCAGCCACATTTAATGTTCAGATGTAGCCCCATGGTGTAACTTACTGATGAAGTCAACAGAGTATACCTCTCATAGTTATCAAGTCGAATAGATTAACCATGAATTGCGTTTTAACTTTCTTATGTAAGGAATGTGCCCAATAGTTACAAACTTACAATAATTGAGCACCTGACTATTGTCTATTCCCACGCAAATGGGAGGTTGAATATACACAAAAGTTACTGTAGGTCGTGGAATTTCCTGATTCAAATCAAATGAAAAAGTCGACCACCAGGAAATTGGCACAAACATTCTACTCTGGCTTATTCTCAATTTCTCTAAACCTCCGTTCCCAATCTTCAGCCTCGACGTTCTGCTCGATTATATCTCTTTCGGTACTGTAGACTATGCGATCCTGTCCTATCACTGTTTTCTGGGCCATATCCCGAGCACTAAGAATCTGCAGTGACAAATTCACGGACCAACATATTAGCCATCAGAATTCTTTTGTTTTCGTCCAAGCAGTCCTGACTCTCTGGAAATGATTGTGAAAGTGAGATGTTTCTGATGTAACTACAGCATTCAAGTAGCTATACCTTTCGTCTTAATGAAATATCAGGCAGTTCGAGCACTTTGGCAAATTCTTTCCTCAATCTGTTTCTCTTTTCTATCTCAGCATTGCTCTTGGAGACAAGGAACCAACGAACCAAAGGGATTGCAAAGAAAGAACCTGCATACACCTGCAAATTTTGATAGTAACCATCTAGCAAAACAGGGCAATCGAAAACTAGACGAGAAGATAAGAAGATCCGAATCACAGATGTACCTGGAGTAGTGGAAAGATGGATCTAACAAATTGAATCCATCCACCTTGATTAATAGTCATCTCCCTGACAATCAAAATATAATGCAGAGATGAGTACAAGACACGAAAATAGAGACACACCAATATCAAGGATAACATAATACTTCCAATCAAGGAAAAAGAAAAAGGAGAATCATACTTCATCATGGCCCCAAGAACAACAACTCCAAATAGATTGAGCCCACCCAACGCGATGACCAATGCTCTTTCCGATGCATTGGTTTTACTGCAAACATAAATTCTTTGGATCAGGGAGCTTGATCTTAACAGATCTAACAAAACATTGGAGGTATTCTAAAAAAATGGAAAAGAACCTGAATTCCAATTTCCTTTCCTCGAGATAGTTCTGAATTCCTCCAACCCAATCTGCCCATCGTTTACTCTTTCCCACGTACTCCTTCCTACCGCTTCTTTGGGAAGATGCTGTTCGCTGAAGTGAAGGAAATCAATACACGATATTGCCCTAAACAGGATTAAATCAGTGAACCAAGGCTTAGATCAGATCTCACCTTAATAGTTACAGATGTCATAGATAGAGTAAAGGAAACCATTTTTATAACTACGTGGTATCTTTCTTTATGATCATACCTCTTCATCAATTTCTGGTTGGCCATCAAACTTAAGGAGAACGGGTAAGACATATGATTCATCATTCTGAAACCAAAGAACAGAAGTAGCATCGTATAAAGACCAACTGTAACTGGATCAGGTTAGAGGATCACGAGTGGGATTAGTCACTCAGGACGCCAACTTCAAATCATTGGATCAAAATAATGACAGAAAGTATTTTATATGCAAAAGCAGAACAATCAACTTTCTTGATAAACTCCAAGGGGAAGGGAGCGGCTTACAAATGTACAACACATATGCATTCAGTAGAAAGACCAGCAGCCCCTTCAAGATTTCAACTAGGCACCTTTGAGATGCAAACCGAAAACAATCCAGTACTTGGATCAAATGAAAGGTCTAGTGCTTGATTAGGATCAGAACCAGGGCTAGGGATGAGATTTGGATCTTCTATTTGTCTTACTCTATTTCAAAAGGATCAAACTTTTAACAACTAAGAACATCTACAACATTGGAATTCAAGAGAAACTTGCAAAACAACAATATATAAATCAAAAGGTAAGTAGAAAACAACAAAGGCTCGGTTTGGCGTTAAGGAATCCCAACAATTTATCAGTTGAGTGTTGAGCTCACATTGGGAATTGAGCACAAGAAGCCTACACCATTGTGTACCTCAAGCAGGAAAGGTAATCATAATATGACAGACACCGGAAAGCATACCATGTCAGTAGTTCGTAAATCCAGATAAGGAGCAAGTTCCTCAGCTGTCACCACACCACCATTAGAAGAAATGTATTTCCCGATCTGCAAGCGCAACCCCAAAAATCAATGGTTCTAAATAAAGTTGACAACTGCTAATATCTCCATTACAAGTGTTATAGAAGACAAAATTGGACTCTGATTTTCATACGACAAGTGTTACTGAGGAAACTCCTAGACCAGAAACCAAGAAGCAAACTTAGAACACAGAAACAGTCTACAAATAGTAAGAAAATGTGCAGCCTATGTAGGATTTTGCATGTGGCATAGTGATAGTAAATGACAAATGTCATCTGCCAGACAATGATTTACAAGCTGATGTTCAACCTTACCTAGTCCAAATCCTGTAAGAGAAAAGTAAAGGCATATCCTTTCAAGATATTTTAAGACTAGTTATATAACAAAGCTCATGGAAAGAAGAAGGTGAAAAAGAGCATTCAGATAAAAAATATATATATAAAAAAAAAAGCAACAGACCACTGAATTCAGTCCTGAACTATTACCAACTTCCACCTCTCTTCTTCTAGTCCTTGATTTGGATCGCCATCACCAAATACAAATGAGAAGATCTGAGAAAACAATGAATAGGAAAATGAAGTTCTTAACAGAGGTAAAAAAACAAGAGCACTATGGCAGTTTGACATGATATGATACGCTTCTCCACTTACAGATTCAAGGAAGTTCATATTTTCATTGACATCAACTTGTTCTCTCCGCCTCCTGTAATAATATGGATCCCAAATCCTGAAAAGCAACAAGGGAACAATTCAAACTTTCTTGATATCAGTTCCTTCCTTACACAAACATCAGCTCTGCACAGACAAATATTCCAAGTTCGCGAGCCATTGCAACCACCTTTTTAACAGGTTTTGAAGGTTAAAGCCAATGAAAGCTAAGCTAAAGAACTACGACTCTAGGAAGCAATCATATCCCAAGCCTTATAAAGTCCATTTTTGAACTTGTAAAAGGAAATAACAGAAGTAAGATGCTCAAAAAATACCTGATTAAATCTATAGGATTAAAGTAAATATTGAATCCTGAACCATATGATCTACTGCTGCGTCTTTCACGTCTGTCGTCATCACTGCCACCAGAAATTGAATATTACACCTTTACCATCAGGATTCAGTAGTGTGACCAAACAAGTAAGGCTTTACTTTATTTGGAAAGAAATGAGACTCGATAGGACAATTTCTAGATACCTTCTACTCGAAAGAAGAAGTATTATTGTAGTATAAACCACTACTACTGAAGCAACTAGAGCTGTCCCAAAGGACACCCTGATGAGATACTCAGCCGTGCTCTGTATTGCAAAAAAAAAAAAAGGTGCTTACAAACTACAACAGGAATCTTTTCAAACATAAGAGAAGCATAGTAGTTCAACCACTGAAATACCTTTGTCTTCTCGACCAGTGGTTCAATTTTCAATCTAAACGACTTGGCAGCAAGCTTTGTGCGATAATCCTTTGGAAAAACATAAAGCACGTCTCCTTCATCTGAAACCTGTTTGGAACCATCTTGAATGCAATTACCAAATCAAGAACTCGAAACAATGTAAGGAGAATGAACAACAGGTGAAAGAGGACTGCCATGACATGAATAAAACCCATAGCTCATCAAATTGGAACGGCTCCTTTAATAGCTACATTCTGGACCCTAAAACACAGATTGAGCAACCAGACTCCACTGCAGGAAACAGAATATGCCGGCGTAATCAAAAGAACTGAAACCATGAAATCAGGTACTACCTCCAGAAAGCCATCAGTATCAGCAGCGAGAGCCTGCAGAGCCTTCTGAGCTTCATTTAACTTAAGCCCAGCTCTGCTCGCCACGTCACCCAACGTAACCCTGCCTCCGCACCCATCAACGGCGTCCATAGTTCGGTTCCTGACATCCGCCGGCAATTTGTCCGTCTCCACGGCGGCACCAGGCCTAATTGGAGTCGTCACATCAATGCTACTGGATCGCACAACGAGACGCGACGCCCGAAAGTTCGGAACTGTGCACGAAACTCCAGGAAAAGGCGCCACCGCCGGTCGGGGTGTTGGGACTCTGGCGAAGGAATAGCTCGTGAAGATTAGACGATGATGAGGAGAAGACGAAATACGTCGGGACTTTGAGGGAGATATGGCGAAGCAGGAAGACAGAGACGCCATTTGAGCTATCGAAAGGAACAGGCTTTTCCTTTTGGCGTCAGGTTCCGGCCATAGCTACTATGACCACAGTCGGCACAAGAACGGGTTGAGTACTGGAGTTGAGACCATCAATCTGGCGAGTTACGGATTGCGGATTTTCTTATCCCCATTTAGACCGGGCAATCGGATTGGGTTGGGTAATTTTGGGTTGGAAATCTCGGGTTACCGGTTATCATAGGTCGGGTCATGTTGGGTTTACTGATTTCGGATCAAATATTTATCCAATTCATTAGATTTTGGGTCGGGTTTTAGGTCATTTCGGGTTACGAGTGGGTCGGGTTTTAGGTCATTTCGGGTTATGAGTGTTCTCAGAAACAATATCAAACATGCTTCATAAATTTTTAAAGAATACAAATTTTTATATATGTGTGACAATAGTTTACCTAGCATATGTCAATTAACAAATGCTCAGCTTCTTCCATGATAATGAAAAGAAATATGAATGCACAAATCGTAAAAAAAAAAAAATCACGAAAGTAATACTACTACAATAATCAAATGATGTTTTGATTATCTTTGCACTCCAAACTTGTATTTCAAATCCTTATGATATTTTTTAAACATCTCACCAATTTATGAGTGATTTTATCATTTTGAGAGT